TTGGCTTAATATGGGTTATGCTTGTTCTTGACTCAACCGCTTGTATGTTGGCATGAAATGGCAATTCTGTGTCGGCTTAAGATTTAATGCTGGTTTTGTTCACTCAAAGTGTTTGCTTTTAAAATCCTCATAAATTAATTTGAATGTTTAATGGCATGCAAAGGGGCTTGATATGCAGCTCGGGCAGTGATTTAAGGTACAAATTTGTGTGTTCTTGGAGATTTATGTAGCATCTTTTTTATAATGACTTGCATTTTGAAAACTTTATTCTGACCCAGTGGGTTTATAAAGCAGAAGAATGATATGCATGTATTTATTAATATATACTCCGACCAGTTGACCAGGTAAGCTTAACCTAAGGGTAACCCATGGAATTAAAATGTTTATTTTATGGATATTCGTATATGCGTAAACTAATTAATTTAAAACTGGGTTTCTAGGATTTTAAGGAATAGCACAAACAACAAAAAATATATATATTTATGGATATATTGGTCAAGTAGAAAGTTTGCTCGATTTTTTATAAATTTTTTAAGATATGATAACTTTGTGAACATTTGTCCGATTTAAGTCAAATATGCGCCGTGCCAACTTCATTATCCCCTCTCGTAGAAATCAGCGAGCCTATTGGCAAAAAAACTCGGAGTGCCAATTTTTACAGGCCTCTCTTGAGGCTAATTTCTCACGATTGAACATAATTCGGACTCTGTTGATCAAAGATGGCCTATTTGAGTGAGTGCTGCCTTTTTGTTTGATATAGAGGGCCGAGTAGAACGTTTGATCTTAGGGGAGCAGCTCATAGTAGATGATTTCTTGCCAATGCCACCAAACACACAGCAAAACCTTCCTGGCCGTCAATCCGGTCTTGGCCACCGTCTGGGGCGCTTCCCTGAGCTATGACCACGACCGTTTGCGCTCGATGTTGGCGTAAGTGACCCATTTTTCATTGCCAGTCACAATCCGCTTCAGAAGCGTGTCGATTTTGTTGCGATTCAGCAGCAATTGGCAGCTGGTTCATCATGTTTTTTGGCGTTAGTTCGTGTGGCACCCAAAGATCGAGCTTCTTTTTGAAACCAAGGTTATGGAAGTGGTTCCAAACGGTTTTCTGGCTTATCTTTAGTTCCTCAGCAATAAAATAAGTGCTCACGTGACGGTCTGTTCCCACTCTTTCCATGATTTTATTGCAATTTTCAACGACAGGCCTCCCGACGCGTGATGCATCTTTGACATCGAAATTACCGGAACGGAACCTAGCAAACCACATTTGGGCTACACGTTCATTTAATTAATTTTTTCAGCCGCTTTGGCTGCTTTTTCGCCTTGATCGAAGAAAATTTTAATATATAGTGAATTTTCTCTATGCTGGTGTCCATTTTTGACGAGCGCTCACAACGTCCTTAGTCAATAAATCGAAAAACTGTAAAAGACAAACTTTTAGCGCGAACAAACACGTTTTCAGCGCCGTAAAGTATGATATGATGCGGCACGTAACACCAGTACTATGGACAATAACGCCATCTCTTAGATAAAAACCGAACGAACTTCTTACTTGACCAATATTAAGGCCAAGTACATTCACAAAATGTTGAAGAAAACACGGGTTTATCCATTCCTCGTTGTTCTTTGGAATTGAGAATTTCACAAACGTCATTACACTATACTGCTCGGCTCTTAAGGCTTATAAAGTTCAGTTAACACAATCACTTAAGACGGCCGATCATCAACAACATAGTGTGTTTGCTGGTTGGGTACTTGAAATGCATGAATATGATCCGGAATTTCATCGATAAATCATCTGGATGAGAACCATTTCCAACTCGAAGGCTACTTCAATAAGCAAGACTGTCGTATCCGAGTCTCGAAAAATCCAAGATTTATTATTAAAAAGCCCTCTCCATCATCAACGTACAACTGTTGGGAAGGGTTTATTGTCCAGTGAGGTCATTGAACCTTACTTTTTTTCGAAAATAAGGCTGGAACAATAGTTACGGTGAGTAGATTGCGCTATCGAGAGTTGTTTATTGATTTTTCATGGCCGAAATCAGATCTTATTGAACTGGACAAAGTTTACTCTCACCGGAGACACAAGCAACGAGATCAACGATCTTTTAAGTCAAAAGTTTCTTGGAATATTAAAATAACACCTCTAATGGAAAACCCTATATTTAAATTTTTCTATGAATCAAAATTATTACTTTAATCTGCGTTGCCTCATCGCTATTGCTTTCCAATCTAACTGTTAGTACTTTGCACAACGTTGCCAATTTTCTTTACTCTGTGTTATCGTTCTATAGTCGATGATCAAAAAGTTAAAAAAAATATAGTCCCCTTTCTAAGATGACTTGAATTGCACAATTTTAAAAATTACACTTCATATATTTTTTAGTCAAAAGCTCAGTGCCATTACTAAAAAAAAATTTGGTTAGAAATGGACTATCAAGCGATTACAAGCTGCATATTTTATTTTCTTACTTCTAAAAGGGTAAAGACATAAGGAAAATTAGGCGAATTCGCATTGGCTTGACTATTTTTATGCTCAAAATTTTAATGTGCAATAGCTTTTAAATTAAATTCTTACATGATGACCTAAACAAAGTTAGCTTGCCGAAAAGGTGACAGCCCTTGGTCGATTAAAATCCATGTAAACGGGTTCCCGTTCGTAGAACCAGCTGTAATGAGAGTTCAACCTGCTGGCGTGCTTGTGGTCCGAACCCGTTGAAACAACTCGTTTCCTAAACCACCCGACAACGACCTCGTCTACTCCTAAGCGGTTTTGGATAGACGCGCTCGAACCTTAGCCTTCCGAATGGCAGTACGCAGTGCTAACCACTCGGCTATCGCGGCAGCAAAATATAAAAAATTGTTTTGCATGGCGAAACATGCAACAAAAGTACTTCATTGTGCTGAGCAAATATCATTTTTAATATATTTACGTAAGAAAAGAAATATTTTTTTTAGTACGTCTGTAATTTACCCCTTTGAGATTCTCCAGCTAAAACTATGAAAGTAATATAAGGATGATTTCTCCTAAATATTTGTTTGTGCTTTGTGTGTACATACATATAAGACGGCTCTTAGGGAAATTCATATTCCAGATAATAAATGAATCTAACTTAGAGCTCCATTAGCGTAGAGGATGTAGCATTTACTTCGTCTTAGCCAAGCAAACACTGCGGCCAGCGATGGCTTACGAAGGCAACACAAAACGTTGTTCTTGACTGTCAGACACCCGTAAAGACAACAAGCTGAAAGCGTAAAAGTAAATATAAACATTCCTACTAACATAAATGCATTTTCACATTACACAAATATATATATATATATATATATTTGTATAGGTACACATAATATAAAAACATATGAATAACCGTATTTACTTTCGCCTTTGCACTGCAAATCGTCACTACAACGAGCGGAGAGCTGTATGAATGTTTGTTTAACTGAGATAAAAGCTAAACGTGTAATTGTTGTTGTTGTTCATTTCTTTCATTTATTTCTGTTGCTTTGATTTAGCTGTCGATTTACGACGCTAGCAATAAACTAAAGTAAATACGATTTACAATTTACAATACAATCTGAGTTAAGCGTGCGAACGTGTGAAAAAAATTATGGACAAGGTGGTAGGGGAGAGTTTTTACTGGTTCGATGTAGGCTTTTACAATATGCCAGCACTGGTTTTGAGGAGGAAACATATTTTCATGGAAAAATTCATATGATTTCAGTAATTCACAACATTGAGCTAATATAAAAACTTTGCTTTATTTTTATTTATGTAGTATGAAAATTGGTCTAAAATATTTTGTTTGGATTGACACCTACGAACAGCTGATGATTTTTATGAGGAGCCTTTATTTCATGTCAGAAATACACTTCAGGGGTTAACATTTCCTGCCGAGAGGCGGGTAATGAAACGTATTGTTCGTCGTCATAGATTGGGGTTTCTGGTTCACCAACTCCTGGTGTCTCATTTTCACTGCCATTTTACTGGCTTAGAGAGCAGGAGTGCAAGTCGTGTAGAAAACCGATCGGCTCTCTGAAGTGATTGCAAATTTTCGACGTCGAGTCTTCCTTTGTCGATCACCAGTGTGGCGAGGCCGCGGTGAATGCCAGAACTCGGCGACGGAGTGTTTCCCCACCATGATTCCGATACCAAATTTGAACTTCTTTTTATGGCCGCTGTTCATTTTATTTTATATTATTTCGTTGACTTTAATTAAATTTTTACTTTTTTTATTAAAATAAATTTTATATTTTACTTTATTTCATTAATTAATTTGTGTAAATAATTCTTAGTCTCTTAATTTTGACACCTTTATTTCTCTTGGTTGAGTGTATTTGCAGAAATATTTAGCACATAATATTTTTTGTTTATTTGCTAAGTGAATGTTCTATACATTTTGTATTCAAAGCTTTTACCCATATTTGCTTGCATACTTTCAGGCTCGTAGTCTGCTGTTGTGTTTAGAAAAGTGGCTTGTAAGGCATTTTGAATTTCAATACACTTTATTTGCTTTTCTAATGAATTTTTATCGGAAAAAAATTTTCTTGAAAAGTAACAAAAATCTGTTGATTGAGTGAGTGATTATGAAGAGAGACTGGAAAAATTCCACAAAATACAGCAGTTATACCGAACATACACAGTTATGCAACACTAGCTGTTTGGAATAATCCATTTGAAAGCGTTACTTTTATTTGAAAAGATTTAATACAGTAAAAAGTTGATAGATAGCTTTGGATTTAGTTTCCTAACTATTTTTTTACTTTGTTTAATATAAATATTTTTAATTTAAATTATATCTCCTTGCTTTAGTCTGCTTGGTAATGAAAATATCATCAAAAATAAGTTAAAATTTTCGGTATATTATGAGTGCAAAATATATGTTGCCTACAATCAGGCGCATTCTTCGAATTGCCACCTAAGCCCTACATTTAACAATAATATATATATTTTTTATAGTAATATTAATAATATTATTTTAAAACCTATCTCTCCTTTCCAGTCAACCCCACCAAGCAGAATGGTATATATTGAGGACAACGGTGAGCCAGGCTGTAAAACTGTGCTTGAAGTGAATCAACGATATCGTAATTTCGAAGATCCCACCTCATATTGGCAATGCGGTCTACAGGGTCAACCGGCCAAAGCCATGCGCTGTGAACCGAACAATTTGTACTCAGAGGCGGAACAAAAATGTATTTTCTGGAAAAATTGGCATTGGACAGATCCAAAAGAGCCACCCAGTCGGCCTGATAAAACGAACAAAACATCAAAATAAATAGAAAATGTTTGCAAGGAAGTTTGTTAAAAAGAATATAGTAGATATGTAGCCAAAGAAATTGAAATTATATTTAGCAAATTATATTCAAAAAATTATTTTAAAAATTAAGTTTGAAACAATTACCTTAAAATATTATTAAATAAATATTATTTATGAATATAGAAATTTAAAGCCCTTGTTTAATGGGACTTCACGGGAAAAGAATGAGATATCATTCAATTGATTTCTGTCGCAGCTGCAAGGATGAAGAAGAGGAGAAGACCATTGAGCATTACCTCTGCCACTCTCCAGCCTTGACATCAGCGCGATAAAAATTTCTTGGGAGAACTTTTTTTCGATTGTCTCGCTGAGACAGCCTCAGCGAATATTGGAAATATCGTTGCCTTTATAAGGCACACGAAATGGTTCGATCAACTGAGAAGGTGAAGGCAGGTGCTTCAGCGGTATCCCAATGGGTCTATTGGCCTAAGTGTGCTGGCAACAGCAGCCGCATCAACTCAACTCAACTCAATCCTATTTTGACTATATTAAAGCAAAAATGCGATTACACATGTCACATGTTATGCTTCAGGACTCGGATATATCGTATGCTCATTATCGATGACATTTCGAAAGGATTATTTAGAGATGAGTACGAGGAATCTGCTAAAGTATACAGGAGCGAGCTGTACACCGCGGCAAGTTCTGTTGAGTATAGATTTCGGTAGTGAAATCATTGATGTGATGAGGAGCAAACTTTGTGTTCAGAGGAGATTAGAAAGGATTAGTTCTGTAAAAGAAAGAGCCACACACGCAAGATAATCGTCTGATTATCTATGCTTTCGTGTTCATTCAAATTTTTCGCTACATTATGCTGTGTTTGAGTGTAACTCCTAATTATTGTACCAGTCATAAACGCACTTCACATTACACTTCATTTGTCATTCGCTTTTGTATTCGTCATTCGCGTGACAATTGCTTGGCACCGCAAACATTTCCATTTCACTCGAAATTGGAACGGTCAACTGCGAATCTGCTGGTGATTGTGGTTGTCAACTGCTGCATGGTGTTTGTCCTTATGAGTCAGAGATACTCAACTGGTTGCTATCGATAATTGGGATTGGCCTTTGTGGCAGACAGAGGCTTCAACCGCACACTCCATGCTCCACATATATGTACATCAATTTTAGCGCTGACTGTGAGTGAATAAGTGTATTTAGCGCAGCATTCCGCGAAGTTTTGTCTGATGACAATCGCTTACGGCATAAATTTCCTATTTTCAGCACCCATTTTCAATGGAGAGGTACTCGATATTTTGTTGTTGTAAAGTGGCTTACTTTGGTGCATTTATTTTTCTTTTTGTCGTTGTTGTTATTTCAGGTATAGTAATTTTGTTTTTTTTTTTGTTTGCATTCAATGCTCCCTATTCTGAGTGCCCTAAGTGCTTGGTGGTGCCTTTGTGAAGCTTTTAACTATTTTTTCCCATTGTGCCTCCGGTTGTTTTAAGTGCTTTCACTCGACTACATCACCTCACACAACCGCACATTTAGCTTGCATTGCTAGCTTCTGGTTCCTCATTGTCGTTTGGCATTTGAATATATTTGTACCTGTACATATGTCGCCGTTTGCTTTCGAATGCTTTTCCGTTAAGTGTTGCTGCCTATCAATGGCCTCGTATGTGTGTAGTCGTATATAAGTTGCGAAATCGAAAATGTCCCCTCTGGTGAAAAGTTAAAGCCTTTCACACGTGAAGTTGATTTAAAAAGGCAGAGAAATGTTTCTTAAAGCCTTAACTGGAAGGTGACGTGTTTGAAGAAATCAGAAGGTGGGGTCAATAGCGAAAAAGGAGTGCGAGTGCTGAACAGACCAACATCCAAGAATTATGGAAATTTAATTTAAATTAAAAAAGTTAATTTTCCTAAAAGCGACCGCCTCTTGGCAGGGAATGTTAAGCGCTCCAATTGCATTTCTGATATGAAAATCAAAGTATTTTATAAAATTCCAGTGGCCGTTCGGCGGCGGCTTTGTTTAAACTCAGGTCCCTCCATTTATTAGAAAAAAAAACCAAGACGTACACCACAAATTGGAGGAGGAACACGGCTTCCTAAAAGCACAGTTCATATGAATGCTTTGAGTGTTGCTGTTGTAAACTTTTTGAAGCTTTTTCAATGACGTATGTATATGTGCTTTAAGAATATTTGTAGGACCTTCTCCGGACATCCAGCAAACCACAAAATAAGTCCAAAGTGTAACTTATCTAATTATTAAATCAAACCGGAAATATGGTGAAGACAAATCATCGTATTTCGTTTGAAAGTCCGGATAATCTTCTTTCCTCATCCTCGGGGTCCCAAATATGGTTATCAGTATTAGATTTTGGTACAAGGAAATTCATACTTGGCCGACCCCATATAAAAACACTCACAACTAGATCGATCATATTGTGATAAGCTGACGTCTCCAATAAATTAGATGTGCGTACACTTCGAGGACACAACATCGACTCGGATCACTATCTTTTGCAATCACCATAGACAGCCTGCTACTCAACGGTAACTCGGTATAAGGGAACTGTGGAACAATAACATTTGCTATAATGAGGATTGCCGTGCTACAGTACATCGAAATGGTAGATTATGAAGTGAAGAATAAAATATGGCGACATACAAAAGGTCTCTAGAACGGCAAATTCTTATAAAACCCAGAGAAGTGACCTAGCGACTGGTGCTCAGAGAATGTTGAATTTATGGAGGGAAAAATTCTCCAGTCTGTTGAATAGCTATGAAAAGGGCAAACCTGAGTGCCCATTGGACTATAGAATAGATGTGCCCTGCCAATTCTACAATACTCAATAACGCATATAAGATCCTGTCGAGCGTATTCTGTGAAATACTAAATCCCACCGTAAACGAACTGATTCCATTTTATCAGTGTGACAGTGTGACATTTTATCTACGACAGTGAAAAGATGATCCACACATATCACTGCATCGTCGATTCTAGAGCAGACTTTGACAGCACGAAAGGTAGCAGCGCAGCTATGTATGAATTTCGGAGGACATCTTGCAGCCATTCGATACCCAATGAGGCCTTATCCGGTAATTTCTTTGCTGGAGTTAATCATACTGACTGCGGAGCTGAATACAGAAAGTAATATCTCCTATAAAGTGTAAAACTTCTGACGTACTCGTATGCCGATTAAATTGATATTATGGCTAAGTATGGTTTGCTCCTAGACAAGGGCAAGATACCGTCATCACATTCGCGACTCGGCTTCAACGTCATTGATGACGGTCATAACTTTGAAGTGGATGAAAATATTTGACGATGTTAGGAGAGAAAAGTTTTGCGTAAGATTTATGAACCTTTGCACATAGGAAATGGCGAATACCACAGTCGATGGAACGATTATCTGAACGATATATTTTAGGGATTTAAGAACAGGCTCAAATGGATAAGAACACTCCGTCTTTGAAGGTTTTCGATGTAGTGGAAGTTGGGGAAGAGGATTACTTCAATTTCGCTGGAAAGATAAGAAGGTGACGCCTAACGCGCTGTTGTTAATCCACGTCAATAAAAAAGAAGTAGGTATAAGTGGCGATTTATAACCACTGAAGCAATTGTCGGCCGAGACCTTCTTAGAATTTTAGAGGTGCACCTTGAAGATTTCCGAAAAAACAATAAATTTCTGAAAAGCTTTTCCTTCAAATTAGATGTAAGTACATTCGGGGGAAGGGTGTTTGACATTCTCCATCGAGGAAGGGACTTTTTATAAATTCTGTTGTATAGGTCAAACCTATGACTGGGCAATTGGGCTGATGGAATAACGATGTATTCACCAGGACTTTGCACAATTCCAAGCCCTGAGTAACACACTCTGTCGGTGTACAAGATAAAAGTTATCAAGAGAATCACTACAAAAAGGAAAAAAGAGAGCAGCGAGCCCGAAAAATCAGTCTTCAATAAGCACATCGCTAAACTCTCATTCTCCAACCGCAAAGGGATGGAAGAGGAATGTATGTAGTTCCATGGAGAAATACTTAGTATTTGTTTATTGAAGTTTTCATAAAAAAAAGAATTTTAAACCACTGTCACTCTATGCAGAGGGCTAAATGACATACATGTTTTCCTTGCCGGTCGCCAGTATTTATTGGTTAATCCCAACATATTCCTCAAGGTGCTCACTTGGACCTCTCTGTACGGCGATCTTACCTTACGAAAAGATTACTGAAGACCTCTTCGAGACAAGACGTAAAAAACACCCGTGGGCTCCATCCTTCCTGCTAAGCAAGTCCTCATTGCTGAGTTCGCAGTCCCAACAGTGTGTTGCAGGCCACAGCTCACGACGGCGTTAGGCAACTGCTACTGCTGCACATCCAAGCCGAAACTACGGAATCAATGTGGTCTGATTTATTTCTTTCGCGCGAGCTTTGCAATTCGGTCACATTACAAATTTTGCGGCTACACACAGAGCAAATGCAGTAAGGCGTTAACGACATCAAATAAAACACAACAACAACAACAACAACGGAGACTAACAAAAGCACAGAGAACACAAACTAAATTGAAAAGCAGCGTTTGTGACAACATAACGGAACAAACGAATGCAACATCCATAATGAAAGAGTTTGTAAATTTGAGTAAAAACAACGCGAACTCCCAATGCCCTGGCCGAGTGGTGGGTTTGGGGGCTTGTGCGTATACATATACGGGTTACTGAATTAATAGGTTGCTGTGCATTTACAGCGTGGGATACAAATAAACATGAAACCCCATTGAGTGGCGGCGGAAAAATTTGCAAAGAAATGAAAAAAACGAACGACGAGAGAACGACACACTGAACTGGAGATCTGGAAATGAATGTGACACACGCCTGACTGCATCTACACGAGACGCTTTGACAGTTGACTGTTTGACTCGTTGGCTGCAGCTCGCCATGCGGCTGGTGGCTGGTGCCATTTGGAATTTGAAACGCATAGCTGGCAGCGATATTGGCAATGCTGCGTGGATCTCGGTGGCTTTGACCTTACAAGAGTGTGTTTGTGTGTGTGTGTGTGCATGTATGTGGTGGGAGTTGCACTTTTCTGCATGTGTCCTCATGTGTGCGGGTTCATATGAGCATCCTTGGGCTAA